TATTACTTAAACCAAAACACTGAAACTATAATACTATTATTCAATAAAGAATAATTTTATGCATTTAATATAACCAATATATAGATTGTTCAGTAAGTAAGAAAGGGGTCTCTAATGTTTTCATTGTTTTTAACAAGTGACTTATTTATTTATTAACCTTACTATTGAACTATCTGTATAATGATAAAGTCCTGTAACGAAAAATACTTTTTTCTTTATAATAAAAAGTAATTTGAAAATATTTGATTATCGTTATGACATACAACTATTATGTATACATTTTTTATATTAATATCATTATCTGATTTGGTTGATGTACCATAGTTTTATTTTTACAACAATGGTAACTTAACGGTATTCTTGAAAATAAAAAAAAAATTGTGAAAGTATTAAATATTAAATTTAATTATTGATTATAATTTATTTTCTATACCGAGAACAATTTTTTTTCGATATTGCGATATCTATATCCAAAAATATTTCTTTAAAGAACCCTACTAAAATATAATATAATTTTTATTATATAAAATCATAAATAACTATTATTTAATTTGTTACATTAAAGTATCAACTTAGTTTTACTTATAAATTAAAAAATTTCAACTCACAAGTGTGAGTTTCATAATAGATTTTAGGACAAAAACAAATTATTATATGACATATGATTTTTGAATTATAATCACAATTTGAAGATATATTGTACCCTCGAATTCAATTATAATCCCGTACAAATCGATACGTTAAATACAACAACATTGTAAAAAAATGGCGCCGGAATTTCCTTTTAAAACTTTTCTGACTCCTGATTTATTTGGCCACAATAAATTGTTAGTATATACATATTAGAGCTACAGCGAACTATATTTTGCATTGTTACTTTATTAGCATTCCACGAATAATAACGAAGAATTATAATATGATTACTATTCAAGTGGTCATATAAAACAAACGATGTTCCAAATGTTAAGATCATACACTAGGGTTTGGATTATTTTTTTAATAAAACATCTAAACTAATGAACGATTTATAATAGTTTTTATTACGGATATTTAATCAGTCTGATAAATTATTTGTCATAAAATAAAACATAAAACATTAAATTAACTTAATTAATGATTTCATTCTTAACATAATACTATTTTCCGACACTTTATACATAATTTGTGTTTTAGTTCATTATAAATAAAATATTACATGAAAGAATTTAAGTGCATAAGAAAAAAACCTTTATGAAGAACATTTAATCCTATAGGATAAACAAAGCTTGACATCAAAGCATCTGCGTAAAATACTAAATACTATTATCTTCACGAAGACCATACTGAAATAGAATTCTTTTTGAACACGTAACTATCTAATTAATAATACAGAACATGTCCAGGTATTAATGTTTAAATGATTAAATACTCTATGCTCTTTATACATAAAAAGGTATAGAAAATCATATTAATTAAGTACTAAAATTACAACCAAAATGTTTAAAATATTTAATGATAACGTAAGTAATGTTAGGTACGAATAATTTTTTAACTGATAAGTATTGAACTCTGCATTAGAATGTTTAATATCAAAATAATGTATTTTATTGTATGTGTAGTAAATAAAACTTATTTTTCACCTAAAAAAATTTTCATTCATTAACGTAAAGTTAATTAAAAAGAACTAAGCACAGTGAGCACGCCGCATAGTTGGAACAAATACAGATAATATCTAACTAATAATACAATTATCATAAAAAACAATTCCATGAAAATCTATAGTATTTAATTTTTTGAAGTTGTTGGATTATTCTAAAAACAACATTAACTCATATTTCCTTGATTATATTCTGATTACTAGTTCTATGAACTACGATTATAATATATTAATAAATACATGCTATAGAAATTAAATTTAGTAAAAAATTGATTTTCTCTAATATTATACACTGAGAAATCATAAAAAATTATACTTGTATATTTTGTTACCTTTATGGACTAACTGAATCAAAAATGTAAGTAAAGATTTATTAAAAATAGGGAGAATGTTATCTTTATTTATTTGATTATTCTGATTAGCTAGAATTAGCTGATTAGTTTTTCTTTTGTAATGGGAAGCCCCATTACTTTTAATATACTTATTGGATTGACATTAAAAACTGAAAAATGTTTATATCTAATACTTAAATGTTTTTTTTAATTTGTTGTAAATGGTGTTATCCGCCTCCATTACTAACTATATCGTTTGACCTAAAATATAAATAAAATTAAAATAAAAAATGATATCAAAATGAAACACCGTGAAATTTTTACACCTAAATAATATATTATGTTTATTTTCGGGGGTCCTATACATATAGAAGATAAGTCTTCAGGAAATTTTCTTTAAACATATAATATGTAACATAAACTTATGTTTAAAACTCGGAGTATTTCCAGAATTCCCCAAAGCTCAGGTTAAGAATCAGATTTTCAAAAGAAATATATCTACAGAAAAAGAAATACTTAACGTATTTATAAAAAAAATTGTTTTCATTCAACCATTTTTAAAAAAGTTAAGTAAAAAAATTTAAAGAAAGAAATTTTCATGTTTTAAGGGTAATGTTTCGAACTAAATGCGATTTGTGACCTTTGATGTATTGTTGAGAACAAGCTAAGAAAAAATAAAGACAGACACAAAAAAATAAATAAATAAATATACCATGGTAAAATTAATACCTTCTCAGCAATGTATCGAACTAAAAAATTATATTAATGAACACTACTCATTTATTAACTACGTATAACTAATGAATTCCAAGTAAACGTTGGCAAATTATTCATTAAACCAAAATGTTACATAATTATCAACAAGTTGCAAAATCCAAACATTTTTAATTGTTTATAAGTTATAAACAATTAAAAAGTAACTTTGATAGTATACTTTTGAGGCTTATAATTTTCCTTTCGTTATAATTTTTAACGAAAAGGAAAAATCTAAGCGTTTAGTAATTAAATCTTTTATTCTTTATTAAAAATATATATAAATATAAGTTTTATCGGAATAGTTTGTTTAAAGAAATAAAAGTTTTTTTCTTATAACTGAAGACTAGCAAATAAAAAACTTTTATATAAGTGCAAACGTACCTGTATATAATTAATTATTATTAGAGTAAAATATGATATTCAAACTTACAAATAAAATTATTGAAGTCAATGCTGATAATCAATCATGCAGTTTTTTTAACTTTAATATGTTAGTTAATAGGATTATTTATAACTTTGAATTGAAAATTTGGGTAAATAACAATGTTTAATTAAATATTTGAATACTCAAAGCAAAAAAAAATTTTTTTGTGATCTTATAAATACATTAATGTATCTATAGAGTATGTCAGTAAAGTTTCTAGAAATATTTTTAAAATACGATTTTTTATATTTTGCTTTAAAATTGTAAAATGGAAGGAAGTCCTTCTATTTATTTAATTTATGATAGACGTAGTCATTAATAATTATATAAGTTTTATTACATTTTACTTTCAAATGGAATTCGCAAAACATTAACTATAATTAATAAAATGTATAATTTTTATTTATTACAACAGAAGCAACATAGATGCCAAATGTTATAACTTCTAATTGAAATATTACTAATAAAGATGATACTATATTTAACTCATTTTATATTTTTTTGTCTTGATATTATTGTAGCGAATATAGGCACTCTGTATTTTTATTGAGAAACATTTAGGTTCTTTACGAAATGTTTTTTATGAATATTTTCGGTATTAAGATTTTATAATTTTTATTTTAAACTGTTTATTTTCATTTTTTAGTTTTTATTATAGAACTATAGTTTTATTTTGTTTTTCAGTTCTTTAATTTTTACCGTACTTTTTTATTACGTTTTTCTGCCATTTACATCGTCCCAGTTAACCGTTTTATGTTACTCATTAAATATCTTGATTTTTTTATGATTCATTACACAAGTTAAATTTCGAAAATCTTTATGCTTAATTTAATCTCATCAATTTACTATTATATTTAGTTATTTCATTTATTTACTTACACATATTTAATATAAAAATTGTATTAATGTTAGTTTAGAAGTTCATTGAATATATTCTAATAAAATGAATTAGAGTTTTAATTAACTCTCCATCAAGTTCATTCATAAAATAACGCTTTATTTATTTAGAAAGGCTCATTTTTACCCTCCCATATTAATAGTAAATAATTTTACAAAAATTAATTATTTTTCACTCAATTATCTTTATTGAGTATAAGTAAACAATGAATTAAGGGTATCATGCAAATGAATTATGTTGATGTGTTTACTAAAGCTTTTTAATTAAAAATCCTATTCAAAAACTTACTAAATGAGGTTTCTAATAGCGTTATTAAGGCTAATAGTAAGTCTATGTATGATGCAAGTTACATATTACACATATTTTTGTTCATTGTTAAAATAGGTAAAACTAAAAAATAAATAAAGTTATTATATTTCAATAAACATATTCAAAATATGAAATTTATTTTAATTAATGTATTGAATCCTTACTAATTAAGTAAGTAGGTATTTACTACAAACATGATTATTCATTAATAAGTAAACTAGTCTCGATTATCTTCATTGAGCTTTTCAATTTTTTTCTTTGGTTATTAAACTGAATATTTATCATTTACTGTTTAAAAAATAATGATGATTTGAAAATATTCATACAATATTATATTTAAATGTTGAAATTTCGATATATTCTGTGTCTAATATAATTAATGTAAATGTGCTTTTATTATTTTCATAAATTTTAATTCATATTCGACATTTAATTTACAATTATAAATTCGAAAATTAAAAATGTAGAGTATTCAATCAATTTTTCATTTAAATACCATTATGTGATACAATTATAATCTTGATTTACTATAAAAAAGGTAAAACTTTCTATCTACTTAGATAACAATAAAACTAAACTAAAACGAATATATAAATTGTGTATCTTTATAATTAACTTTTATAATGTTTCTTAGAACATATTTACCTGTGAATAATGCTAGAATTGAGAAGACAGCCACTTAATATTTTTTTAAAGTACCATTCGTCGAGTTGCTGACCGTTTGATAATTTGAAATTCTAGAAACAGAGGCTTAACATTTAAAATACAACCAACTACGAATAGTTAATAAAACCGAATTATGATTGCTTGAAAGATGTTTTAACGAAAAAACATTTAATAGGATAGAATGACTTACAGAAACGGTTGACGCGGAAAAGACCAAAATGTATTAGCGATGTGTAAGTAGCTAAAATCCACAGTTAGTGCTCGTCACACGCCGGCCTTAGGGGTGTGTGTTGAACATTTTGTGTTAGTCGTCACTACCACCGCCGGCGTTGAGCGCCTTTTCTCGAATCTCATTGGACATCGCCACTGCATTCATATCATTTTCCGTCAGGTATAATTTTTTTTTCAAGAAAATTTATACGTAACAGGTTTCTATAATAAAAATTTGATCAGTTATCTCCAAAATTAGACTGTATGACAATTACCCGGGTTGTTTTCAACAATATTGCATCTTTAACATTGATTTTCGCACACATCGCGATCATCATTACTAATACACACTACTATCTTAATACATTAAACATTTTATCTAAATACATTATTAGTCTATCGGTGTATATATACAAATACATTTAATATATTATTGTGCTTTTAGATAATAATAATTCATGCGAGTGCATTGTAATCCTCAAATCTTGTCATGGAATTTTAAATATCGTAGAAAAAAAACTCAGATTTTTCTATTGTTTACATAATTTTATATCCTAAAGAGAATGTTATTGAAATTATTAATACAAATAATGTAAAAATTATGTTGCTTGTTCTTTAATTCTTAAAATTTATGTTAATAATAACGACGCGAAAAACTTTTTTTTAGTAACTTTTACAAAAAAATCACAATTTTATTTTATTAAAAAAAATATGTATATACATATACATTTTGTATTTTCAAAAGGAAAACAAATTATCAATTATCAAATTAAATGGAAGTATTTTATAACTTTTGTTTGACAACGATGTGATGGTCATACATTTAAACAAAAGAAAATATTTTAAATGTCTTTTTTTGTTTACAATAATACTAAATTGCATAAATAATTATTATAAATGTGACACCATGTTTTTTTTTTACTATATACTCTAGTTTATATCATCATCCCCTTAGTCTCTATCCCAATTATTTGGGGTCGGCTCTGCCTTATTGATTCAATAAAAATTGCACATTCTGTCGACCTGATGCAACCTTATTATAGAGGAAACTAGTAAGATTCCTTAGTTTATATATAACATAACATAAACTGAACTGTTTCGTACTTTTAATCATTTTTGAATAAACCATAATAGTTCTGTTCACTGATATTTTTGTCTGTATAAACATTTTTTATTATTGTTTAAACATTAATCTATTTTTGTCCAGAAAAAAGTTCAGTGGAAAAGTGGAAAAGTTCAACGGTGATAATATATACAATAAGAATAAAAATTTAAACATACTTAATATTAGTTTTTTTTTAAATATTCTAACTATAGTTGTTTTGCCTATATACATTAATATAGAATTCAACAAATAGATCTCTCTATATAACGTGTATATAATAATCATCAGTAGATAGCGCCATTTAACATTAATTTACTCAGTTTAAAAAGTTTTTACTGATCTTGTTCTTTTTTCTCTTCTTTATCCCAACTACTTGGTATCGGCCATCCTTATCCTAAATTCCCACTTGACATAATCTCTTACATCATCTCGAACTTATGAGACGACCTCATATCGCATTTAATTACATCCTTCCATCTCTTTTTGGGTCTTCCTCTACATCTTCTCTCTTCGACATTTGTTTAGTGACATTTTAGTGGTACAAAAAAAAATACTATAAATTTTGTATTATATATAACAAATTTTTTATGATATTTCTATGTAATAGCTTAAAACAATCTTATTATACTTGGAAGTATAACGATGAAGATATAATAATTGTTGAAGAAAAAATATTATTTCATTAAATGCGTACTAGGTAATAAATATATTTCCTAGGAATCATTATAACTCACATACCATATAAGTATAAATTTTGAAAAGTTATAAAAGATAGTAAAATATGTTGATGAAATTATTTTATTTTCTTAGAAAAATATATTTCTACAATTAAATTAACTGTTAGAAATGTTTTAATATCTTCATCCTGGTGATTATATATCAATACTTACAGGTATTGAAAGGACAAACGATGAATAATCAACGTAATTGCATTATTAAAATACTTTTTTGGCATAAAATTCGTTTACAAAATTTTCTATTAGAATTTTATAAATGCTAAAATTTCTCCTATTAATATTGTAATTTAAGAGGTATTTTAAATAAATTAATAGCACTTTGGTGAATTAAACTTGCCGTTCTAAATAATACGAATACAGACAATTAGTATTAAATTTGTACAGAGTAAAAACTAGTTACGAATATAACTAAATAAATATATTTTATAAAATATTAACTGATGATAATAACATTGTAATAAACACAACTTAATTTGACCGAATAACTTCGATTATAAAGTTTAATTTATTTATTCTTTCAAGAGCATTTAAATGGAGTTCAAGGATAATGTTAAGAAACGTTAACGAGTAGTTCAATAGAACTTTATTTGGTATGTATATGTGCATATCTATTTTAGCCGTAAAAAACTATTAGATGAAACATTGATTAATCTAAGAATTACAATCAAATGTCTAAAATGTGACATTTTGTAACTAATTATTATACCAATATAGACACATTTTTAATGAAAAAAATTTTTTTTGAATCTTACTAGTATTAAAATAATGATAATTTAAAAAAAGTTCTACCATAAATACTTTTGTAAGCCAATAAAATACCTTTTTATAAAATTGTAAAGCTTTAAACGATTAAAACGTTAATAATATTATCATTAAATAAGTTTAATTAAATTATATGTAATGTGTCATTAATGTAATAGCTCATAGTACATTTTAATGTCTATTTATAGTTAATTATATAGATAAAATACATGATTGAACCTTAATATTGCAAAATAATTACTAATGTTATATTTTAAGTTAGGCTTTAAATTATATAATTTGTAATGATCTGGGAAATAATCTTATAATCTAATCAAATATATAACGTCCACTAGTTAGATATCTTGAGAAAAAATATAAACATGTGATTAGTACCGAGTCCATCCTGTCTATATGTAAAGCTGCTGTACAGACAATTAATTTACTCAATATTTTAAGAACATAATTTAGATATAAGACCAAATATCTAAATCTAAATCTATAATGATGATAAACTTGTAAAATTGCGTTATGATACATATCAAGTAAAAAAATACGTTGTTTCTTTAGGTTTAATAATTTATCTTCTTTTTAATGACACTAAAAAAATAATTTCACATTCTCACACTATATCATTCAAACCATTAAACAACTCAAATACATCTCAAACGTGTGTAGATTATTCATTAATCCTGATTTTGTAATGTGATCCCCTGAAAAGCGATCCTATAAATATCAACAAGGGAGCATTCATTACATACATAATAAGGGGTTCAAAATAACAATTAATTATCTACAAACACATTTTTTTAATGAACTTTAGATCTCTAATCAATATACAGCGATAAAACTGAGCGGAATAGTAATTACACTGAAAAAATTGTTAAATAAATCTTGTATCAACCGCAGCAGTAACGATCGTTTCTAGAATATAATCTAAAAAGTTTGTAAATAAAAAATATTTAGTATAACCCTGCTTTAGGTATGTTTATGAACACGCACAGGCTTATGACGTTCACACACGAGGCGTCGGGTCATTGGAGCCTTTATTTTAGCACTGAGCTCTTAGAGAATCAATAGGCAAGGTAGTCATAATAGTTTAGACTATGTTCGTATTAAATATTAAGTTGTCTTATAATTTTATAAATAAAAATAATAATGATGAAAGAATAATTAATATTCATAATTAATTTATATGGATGTGTCTCATTTAAAGAATAGCAAGGAGATGACCCTATCAGCAAATGATGAAGACTGGCAAATATTTGACATCTTATGTGGCTTGAAAGTAATAGAATTAGTTAATCAATTTAGATTTTATATTAATTAAAAATTGAAAATATAACATCTGGAAACAGCTTTTAGCTTATAGTCGGAATTTTTTTTTTAATTTTTGAAAATACTTATATAATTAAATAGTATAAGTGTTTTACCATTAAATTTTAATGGTTGACTGAGAGCAGCTTAATTTACATTTTTTCTAATCATAGGATGCAAAGCGATGACAATTGATTTATTATATCAATGATCAAATTGATAAAAACATTTGATTATATCAAATATTTATATGACTGCCTATGTTTACAATATTTGCGTTTTTTTCTTTGAAGTTTATTATAATACACACGCACAATTGTAAACAGTAGTGACCTATTAGGTACCAGGCAGTAGATACGCTAAATATATTTCGCAAGGTTGACTATTAAGGTCTATTATAACAATTTTACAAATACGCGTATTAAAATAATCTTGCAACGATAGGTATATTTAATCAAAAAAAAATTAAAGGACTATAAATGAAAATATATTCAATGGGGTTTTAGTCATGAAAGAGATTCAATGATATTTTAATTAAATTTTTTTTTTATTAAGCTTTTAAGATTTTTAATAAAAAAACTTTGATTTAGAACGATTTTTTTTTGGTATTTGGTAAACTACATGTGGTCAAGTTAAATTTTTGTAAAAAAAAAAATTACTTGTACTTGATTGATGAAATAATAATTTTTATGATCTTGAATTTTAAAAATTAATCATTGTATAATGTCTGGGAAATATTTTGTTAACCTAGTTCCGAAGTAAACTCTAAGTTTATGTATTTTTATAAAATGTGACATACAAATCGATAAATGCCATCGAGTTTTTCATACACGCACTATTTTGTTACTACGCACTTGGTGGCTTTGTTTAGTATTCGGCTTACTTACTGACAGTAGTTAGTAGTATTTCTTATTGTTTTGATAAAAAAGATTAATTTGACTAGTGAAAACAAAACGAAGATTAAGTACAATTCTTAAAGGTGAATTATAAAATAATTGCTATGTATCTATTGTTAATTTTTAATTTATGTATAAATAAATTATATGAGCTGATGTTATTGTGTTGGTGATTCTAGTCCATTTATATGGATTTAGAAAACCACTTACAAAAACTTACTCTTTGATTTTTTTTCTATCCACTTTATTTTGGTCTCAGTAATAACTTTTAAAAATAAAAAACTCAAAAAGTTTGTAGCAAAATTAATATCTTGATTTGTATGTAGATGGATTCTGAGGATTCAATGAGTAGCCGCGAAATAATATCTACACTTAAAAGTGAGTTAGCTGCATTACAATTCAAAAGAGATCGTTTGGTATCAGAAGTAAGAATTTATAACAACATAATCAAATTATGAATTTATGGCTTTACTGTGTAACATTATGTTTAGCTACAAGATACCAAAGGACAACTGAAATCAAGAGATCAACGAACAGCTGAACTTGAAGCAGAAACAGAAATGTTAAAAGAACAGCAAGTTAGACAAAATTCAATTATAGCTAGCCTAAGAAATAGAATAAAGGTAAGTCTCGAGTGAATGTCTAGACACATGCCTCTGAATATTTTACTATTTCATGTTGTTGTATGGTTGAAATAATTATTTGTGATTATAATTTTAATAATTAAGTCTATAAATTAGGAGTTAGAAGATCAAGAAAGATCATTGAGCACTTCTTTAGGTAGAGTGGAATTGTCTTCTGAAACATTATTGAGAGAAAATCGGCATAATGCTGAAAAGTGTGCGGAATTGGAACGTAAAATAAATATATTGGAATTAAATTGTACTCAAGCTGAAAATGCAAGAGATTCGGCTAGAAGAAGTATGGCAGATTTTGTCCATAGAACTTCGTTGGCTATAGGCTATGAATCATTATCTTCTGACTCACCAGCTGCTACAGATGTAGTTATATCAAAAGTGTCTGAGCTACACCAAGTATTTATTAATTCATCAATTTTATTTTGATTAAAATAAATTATTTTTGGAAATAAAATGTCATAATTATTAGGAGTTGACTAGACTTCGACGAAAAAATATTAATGCAAGTGAAAGTTTGAGTTCCGTAGAAATGGAATTAAGAAAATGTCGAGATGATTTAGAAAGAGCGATGATGGATAAAGAAAATCTACAGAGGCAAGCCGCTGGATACATTCTCGAAATCGAAAAGCTTAAACAAGTCAGATAATATGTTTTTTGTATTAAAGCCAAATCATTAAAATTAAACGAATTCTAATTTTATCGATGGTAGTGGTTTTCACAATATTTTCATTGGGATATTTTCTAAAATAGTCTAACAATATTTACATTAAAGCTCATTTATAAGTATTTATTAATAAATTTGCTCTTTAATTATTATATATTAAATACGGGTAAAGCATGGGTCAAAAAATAAGTGTAATCATATTTAATTTACTTGATATGCAGGAAAAGGAACATTTAGAAATGCAACAAAGAGTAATGGAAAGGGAGTTGTCAGAATTAAAAGATAAACTTATGGCTACTAATAGAAGCTTGGGAATAACTTCGAGTAGTTTGGCTAGTCAAGAAGCTACTATTTCATCGCTTCGAAGTAATTATCTGTTGCACGTATTAATAAACAACACATTTAACTAATATGTAGTGTTATATTGCAATTTTAGCCGATTTGAGAGGACATGACGAAAAATGCCAAAAATTGCAATTTGAAATGCAGAATTTTTTAGAATCATTAGCGGTATGTTTATCTTCAGTAGATGGATACGTTCAATCAACTGAAAAAGCAGTAAAGGATGCAGTTAAAAGAATCATTAATGAACTTTCAACTAAAAACACAGTAATTGGTCGTTAACTAAATACCAAAAACAATGAATGTCTATCTTTTTAAAATTGCTTAGTTACACGAAGAGGCCAAGGACAGAATAATTAAGCTAACAGATCGTCTAGAACGTTCGCAGATAGATCAAGATAAAGCGATGTTAGAAAATCGCGTATTAGCCGATGAAAAACGTAATTTAGAAACACGGCTTAACAATGTTGAAAGTGAACTTAATGTATGTGAAATGTCAAAAGAACACTTACGTAATGATAAAACCATTGTAAGTAAAAATTAAAATGGTATATAATGCATTTGCCAGAATTTTTTCAAAAGGATACCAAATATTGGTAATTTTTGTTTATTCATTCTAATTTATTGGCAATTCCATTAGAAAATCCTTTTAACTGGCACAACTTGTGCCGGATGATAAAAATTAATTTTTGATTTGTATTAAAACTTGATAAGTCACATTGTGATTTTTTGATATTTAAATTTGTATAAAGAAGGATTTTTTTCTTTTAAATTAATCAACGACGATAAGACACCAATGTAATTTAAAATTTTTTTTTGCTTTCTTAAAACATTCATATTTGAATATCTACTTTAAAATAATATTCACAGAATTGTCCTATTATAAATATTTACAATTCATTTCTTCAACTAAAAGATTAAATATGATACAAATAAACTGACAAATTATAAAATAATGATTTGTTTATTAAAAATGCAAGTATATTAGTCCATTTAATTTAAATAGTGTATTTTTATTTTCAGTTTGTTACATTTCTCGATAAATTATCGAGAGCAATGCATATGGACCAAATAGCTAAAGACGTTGGAGTTGACCTCCATACGGAATCTTTGTTATTAAGAGCTGAACAATTGGCTAAGCTCGAGTATGACAAAAATATCGACAAGGTATGATCTATAAATCAATTATTCAACTAAATAATTAATGGTTATGGCGTTTATGATATAATATTTTTTTCCGTGGTAATAGTTACTGCTTGGTTATCCTTATACAACAACGTTAGTCAGGCATCGTTTGTATAACGATTTCCCTTACAGAGAAGTATTTCAAACAACGATTAATATCATTTTATTTAATATCTTTTATCCACACTATATTCGTAGCTATAATGAACAACTGCAGCAAATTCTAATTTATTATCAGCCGTAAAATGCTTAGTTAAGAGATTAAGTAGAATAAAGTGACACTTAAATATTATTGTTGTCTCGTAAGTTCTTTAATGTTATGTACGTAGCTTAGACAGGCGAGCAGATTACTTTATCCATTACGAAATTTATTTTCATTTTTATTATTGTAAATTCGCAAAATAACCACTGCGTTTTAGGTATATTTCATGATATAATAGGTAGGCTGATGAGCAAATCATATTTAAAAATATTTTATGTCGTTGTAGTATTTTTCACTTAAGTTGTATTTCTCTATGATAAGTTACAATATTTTTTGACACTTATAGCTTTGTTATCATTAATCAAATAATTTAAATTGTAATATTAGTAAATAACTTTTAAAAATTAATTTATATTATAGAGTGCTCTCGTTTACCAACTTCAGAGACGTGTGCGAACTTTAAGAGACCAATTACAAAGACGTGATCTTCATTTGGATTTGTTACGACGAAAAATTAGCGTTCAAGATGAAAGCACAAAAATGCGTACTCTGTTGGAGAGTGAAAGAGACGAAGCCAATTTACGGTAAGATTATCTATTCGCGCAATATATTTATTAAAAATGTTCAAGTGTATTTATGTATGTGTATCGTAGAGCGAAAAAATTGCAAAAGCAATTGGACAAGGCTCAATTACAACTGGCCGAATCCAAAAGTCAAATTAAAGATTTGAAACTTCAACTTTCAGATGCCGGAGATTGCAAAGTTAGAATAATTGAAACATTTTTAATCGTGAAAATTTATGGTTAATAAAAATTTATGAAACATTGTTTTAAATTTTAGTTAACTTCGTTAGAAAGAGCTAAGAAGATTGAAGATCTAGAAAAACGTCTAGTTGAATCAGAAATGATAAGGATGCGTTTTTCAAAAAAAGTTATTGAATTAAAAGAAAAAGTAACAATATTTATATTATTTAAAAAATGTGGTTATTTTTCATAATGTATATTATTGCGTAAATGCATTTTAGTATAAATTCATTTATTGGGTTTATTACATTAAAACTATAAAATGTGTTTTTAGTTGAAATCGTGTGCGGAAACTCAACACCAAGATAAGACACTGAATGAGCATAGTATACGTATCTTACAAGACGATCTAGCATCTGTTAAGTTCCAACACGGCGAATTAAAACGTCGGGAAAGTACTGTAAGTTAGTTAGTGTAATCAGTTATCAATAAAGTCTGAAAGATGAATTTTTCAACCCATAGCTAGAAGATTTTCGGCGAACTATACTCAATTTATTAGGGTTGGAGACATCTTCAACTGATTATGAAGTCACGTCGAAGATTTCAAAACTAGTTGCCGCTCACAGAGAGTTTTTTATTTTATCTAAGCGGTACGATGACCCTCTTCCAATATATCCTCTTGTGCCGCCATCCGAATCTTCAGATCCAACTGTGGACGACTTTGAAATTTTGAACAATCCATATAACAAGAGACATTAAGAAAAATTGAAACTTTTTACCTTTAACCCATCTCCTAGTCATAATCTAAATAAACTTCATCTTCCTGTTAAGCTATTTGAATATAATTCAACCTTTTACATTCGATATACACGCTTTTTCGTGACTCATTTTGCATTTATTTATAATAGTATCAGGTGCAATCCATTTATAAGGTGTCATTACACGTTATTTAAACATCGCGGTTATTCTGTTACCATTGGTATTAGTTATAGAATACTTTAAGAATAGGGTTCATAGTGTGTCGTATAAAGTTATTGTTCATTGTTTAAGCTCAAGTATTCGCATTAATGTTACCATTTTATGCTAGTAAAAAATAAAAGAACTAGCTAGTTCTTTGATTTGTATGCTATTCAAAACAAACTAGAAACTACCAACAACCTTGAAAGTGAAATGCTTGTTTTTTTTATAATTTTAATAAATATATCGCACGATGTATTTAAAAGTCAGTCGTATAAAAGTCGCCACCGGAATTAATGGGCCAAATAAATAAATATAGTAAGCACTATATGTAAAAATAATTAAAATAATTTTTAAAATAGAAATTAAAAAAAATTATAATAAGTTTTTTAAAAAAGCAACATTGATTATTCATTATAACATCGGATTTTATTAATATTTTATGTAGAATATATTTATTATGTATTATATACAATTTATTTTAGTAATTTAAATACATATATTACGAATTAAAAAAAAAAATTGAAATCTCAATACATATAATAGTAGGACTTCCTATTATTTTTATTACATAGTAATTATTTTTTAAATTATTAGTTAAAATACATTTTAATTTTAATTTGTTTTGAAACTAAAGTTTTTTATTTAGTTTACATATATATAAAAAAATAATTATTTTATTCATAACATATCAATATTTAATTTCTATCTTTGTGATTATATAACTCTTATTCCAATGTATTGCAATTAACTTTGTAATTTTGATCATTCTTAAAACAGTTTCATTTAAGTTTTAACTATTTTGCTAAGTATTGTTTAAATCAAAAAGATATAATAACATTCTAAGATTTAGAAAATTATTTAAATGTTACAGAAATGCAGTTTATGTGATGCTTTTTTATGGTTTGACTTTCACAATTGCCATACAAATGTATATTGACTTAAGTTTATTCTAATTTTTAACATAAACTAAACCATAATAAGCAAATAGTTACTTATCGCTTCTATTATTTTAATTGATAACAATTGATATGTTTATTGTTGTAAAACTTGTACTTAAAAATCTATGTTTTTATATAAAATAATTGTAATATAATGTGTTCATCATCTATCGTTGAATTATTACTAGGCGAATTATTATTGTTAATAAATAAATGTATAATTTGAATTGTTAAAAGTCATGCAAATGTTTGCTGTTTTCTCTTGTTATATTTAGAATTAATCTTCTAAACAGTTTCCATTTTTTGTATAATTAATATATTTAGTGGTGATTTTTTTATTTGATATAAGTTTAGGAATCAATACATACGACATCATATCCTAATGATATTCTTATGTCTATTTGTCAATTTATAGTCGCCTGTTTTTGCAGTGACGATTTACACTGGTTGACAGAAACGGACCTCAAGACAAATCGAATCAATATTTTTCATTAATGCGCTATGACTAATAAATCTAAGTTATCTGTGAAAATAATAGCACCAATATTGTTGTTGTTTTCATTGTTTCTTGTAAGGTTTTTTGTATTCATTATCATCAGTTATATTAATAGGTGATAGAACTTCAAACAAACCCATACACATTTCTTATGTATTTTAGCACATGTGCCACATTCACTTGATACCGTTTAGATCTCTTGTTAAGATGTACATTTTGATGACAAATAAAAATATCTATCAAAAATTTACTTGTAGTATCCAGTTGAGTCGATAAATGCGTAATTAACATAATCTAAAGATAATTTAATTTGAACCAACGTCAAATTTGAATGGTAACTGAAAATAGTAATAACTCAGGTACAAAGCACAGATACCTTTAATTTTCAATCATTTGAATATTATGTAGTTCTTAGACTATTGTTTAAACTCTAAAGCTTTTGTATTTTCTCAACTGAAAATGTAAATTATAAAACCAAGTATGTTTTTGTGATTTATTTGTACGTAAAAATACTTTTAAGTAGTTATAAATTATAAAAGTTAGCCAAATTTTATAAATTAAATATTTATTAATTATTTTTATATTTAAATGATAATGCAATTAAAAGTTGAAAAAGGTTTTTATATAGGGTAAGTATCTTTTCTTATAAATTTATAAATATTCAACCTCACGCAAATTTACGTTACATTATTTATATTTCATATTTTTTTTAATGTAGTAAATTTTTATTATGGACGCGTACACTTATTATTAGTGATAACTGTAATTTAAATACTAAACTGTATTTCATAGTTTAGATTTCCAGTTTAAGTAATGGTATTAGAATAATTGCTTGGAATACTATTAATGAATCGTGTCAATTTATTTACATTTAGGTTGAAAGTAGTATATATATTTAACTAGAAAAATTATTGCTCTTCCTTACTATTTTTATTTTTAACTGAAAATTTTTATTTGGCATGCTTACTTTAACTGTACTTAATATAGTATAATGAAAAGTATATATACAAAATCAATGAATTTAGCTCGTCACGTTTCGAACAAGAATCAAAAACATATGACATATAGTTTTAATGAGATCAAAGTTTATGTGCACGAAATTTCATGAGAGCTCTTAACTCGTACAAAAATATCAATACTTTTGATTATGACTACATGAAGAGAACGTAAACATGTTCACGAAGACAAATAATCGACCGTGAAAAGTGCTTCAAAATAAATAATCTTCATAGAAATTAGATAAGAATACTTATGACGATGAATAAGAAAAAAGATTGCACAACTATTTTAGAATTTACTGTTATATTGTGACAAAAAACAAAAGTTTCTCTGAAAACGACTGTTAATAAAATTGCCTAAGCAATACTTTGATAAATTGTGACATCCATGTTAAAATAAAATGCCCTCTATGTTACTATTAATACTGTTACATGCCTGTTAATGTTTTTCTTGGAGAGCGTAGTTTTTAAATTATAATAATGAAGAAAAAATTAAGTGCTTCAAGCAACTTATGAAGAAATATAATTTTTCACACTACCTAAAATATTATCAGTATAACTCATTATTATGAATTATAATTATAATAATGTTCATAAATTTCTATTTATACATTCTTCTTTATTATTTATTGCACGCAATGCAACATCCAATCCCACTTAAGTATCAAAAGCAAATTACAATTATTTATCATTTTATGTATAATCTTTTCTAATGTATAAAAATGAAGAAGTGTAAAATTTAAGGAAGTAAATACTTATTTTGTATATTCATAAATAAAATTTTTTTGAAGTTTTAATCATTAGATCAGATTACAATTATTGATTTAAATAGAACATGTTCATTTAACAGTAAAAAGTTTTATTGATTCACTATATTAAACAGCCAAATTAATAATAATACTTTTTTTTTACAAAAAGCCATTAAAAATTTAGCAAACTTATTATATAATTGAGTTTTTTTTTATTTCGATAATACTCGTCATGAGTTTTGATACGAAGCTAAGAAAACGATACTTAGACACATAATTTATGGATATATACAAAATAATAATTAGCTACCTATTACTTATGTAATTTTTACATAACGTGATGGAAAAAAAATTTCATGAATAAAATATTTGAAAAAATCGTCATTACATGATTTATTGTTTTATCGTTTTATTTCAAGAACAATTTAGCATCGCATCACAGTGTAAGGATAGGCTCTTAAATAATTCATAAAGTCAATACAAAGTAAATGTTTAATTAAACCATTGAACATTATTTTATAACTATTTGTTAAAGTATTGAGCTATACAATAAAAGTATTTATAATATTAAATTAAAAGTGATTTTTTGAGTAAGTTTATACTGTTTTATAATTGTTTACACTTTTGCATTTGGATTTTTGATAAATCAAAATAATTTTTATATTTATTTTTACTTATAATATTAATGCTTAAAAATTCAAATAATTGTTGATGTATGAAATATTATATTTCACAATAATTTTATTACAATGCCAAAAATGATCTCCTTCCCTATCATTTAAAATTTTTCAGTATAACTCATTTCATATACGATTAAGTGAGAAAAATATAGAAACCATTTTGGAATAGTAAATCAAGTACTTCATACTTCTATAGATCAAATGATAACAACAATAGCTGTCATTAAACACCCAAAAGTACCTATCATTTAAAAAAAAAGTTTTATAAGTTATCATATTGATAATTATGGTGTACATAATGTTAATATGTTCTTTAGGTACACGTAATTACTTAACCGAGCAAATAAAATCAATATGTTTCGTCTTTATATTGAGTTAATTAACACATAGATATATATTAGGGTGGTCTTTATTTGACAAACTTTAAAGAATCAATTCATTTTTTAAATATATTTTATGTCTCTCAATTTTGCTGTATTCTCAACATTTAGAAAGATTTTGTCAACAAATAAAAAAAAAGAATTTTTTTTGAAAATAAAATTTTTTAATTTTTATGCTTAGCGATCAATGATACGAAAATATATGTAAGAACTTTTTATTTTGCTAACATGTTTTCCTACAAAATTAATTCTATAGTTTTTTCCATCATCTTAATATATTAAAAGATACACGCAAAATACTATATTTTTACCACTTTTCGTCATTTTTCAACCCCTTTGAGGCACGTGATGGAGTTGACCTAGAATACTCAAATTTTACAAAAAAAATTTATTTACTACATAGAACCAAATGTGGGGTTCTTCCATTTGATTTTTTAAAGTATGTCAAATAAGGTCAAATATATATATATAATAGTAATAAGTCAATACATTTATTCAATAGTTCATTCAACTTCCATTACACTTTCAGAAAAACGAGTTGTAGTATCAGGCCCGCATTTAGGGGAGGGCATTGGGGGCATTTGCCCCGGGCGGCAAATTTTGAAGGGCGGCAAAAATCTTAATAGGTATACAATTTTTAAAAANTTGTATTCGGCAAAAATCTTAATAGGTATACAATTTTTAAAAATTAATTATTTTTATTTAATTTTAAATTTTTTCAAACAGAACAATTTATTTTTATGAAACAAAAATATCTATTTCTAAAAAAAAATATTACTTTATTATTTTCTAACTAAAAACGTGTACAAAGATATAAATNGTACTATATTATTTTCTAACTAATAACGTGTACAAAGATATAAATGTAAAAGAAGATATATCAAAGCTGTATAACAACATAGACTACAGTTAGTAGTTAGATAATAGTATTGATTATACATAGTAATTTTTATAATCAACAGCACTATAAATAAAGTAGGCGGCAATTTATTTGATTCATGTTTTTATCTAATTTTAACAAAGTATTGATATTTTCTCCCTTAAACTGGTTTTATGGATGTCGTCGGCCGTTGATAGTCGATTATTATTGGAATACTAAGAAAGTTAAAACACAATAATTTGTCTCATTTTTCACAAAATTACTATCTAATAATGTCACACTAATAATGTGTTGTGTACAGACAGCTCATTGTGTTTAGTACTCGACTACAAGTGACCGAGTTAATGTGTTGAGGTGTTTTTTTTTTATTTGTATATTTTTTTATTTA